ACACTATTACCTACTGTAGAAATATATACTATGGCATACACTATTTCCTACTGTAGAAATATATATTATGGCATACTCTTTTACCTACTGTATAAATATATACTATGGCAAACACAACTACCTACTGTACAAAGATAAACTATGGCGTACACTATTACCTACTGTACAAAAATATACTATGGCAAACACTACAACCCACTGTACAAAGTTATACTATGGCGTACAGTATTACCTACTGTAGAAATATATACTATGGCATACTCTATTACCTACTGTAGAAATATATATTATGGCATACTCTATTACCTACTGTAGAAATATATACTATGGCATACACTATTACCTACTGTAGAAGTATATACAATGGCATACACTATTTCCTACTGTAGAAATATATATTATGGCATACTCTGTTACCTACAGTATAAATATATACTATGGCATACACTATTACCTACTGTAGAAATATATAGTATGACAAACACTACTACATACTGTACAAAGATAAACTATGGCGTACACTATTACCTACTGTACAAAAATATACTATGGCAAACACAACTACCCACTGTACAATGATATACTATGGCGTACAGTATTACCTCCTGTAGAAATATATACAATGGCGTACACTTTTACCTACTGTACAAAGACATACTTTGGCATACACTATTACCTACTGTAGAAATATATACTATGGCATACTCTATTACCTACTGTAGAAATATATACTATGGCATACTCTATTACCTACTGTAGAAATAGGTACTATGGCATATTCTATTAACTACTGTAGAAATATATACTATGGCATACTCTATTACCTACTGTAGAAATATATACTATGGCATACACTATTTCCTACTGTAGAAATATATACTATGACATACACTATTACCTACTGTAGAAATATATATTATGGCATACACTATTACCTACTGTAGAAATATATACTATGGCATACACTATTTCCTACTGTAGAAATATATATTATGGCATACTCTTTTACCTACTGTAGAAATATATACTATGGCATACACTATTACCTACTGTAGAAATATATACTATGGCAAACACAACTACCTACTGTACAAAGATAAAC